ATACTTCTCAGGTACTCCATTCCTCAGCAAACAGTTCCATAGTGCGGTCCTATCGACAAGCATCCAATACAATTATGCCGTGTTGCCAACCAGGAAGAAATGTTTCAAACTCCAGAATATGCCCATTATGACATGAGAACACACGTTCAGAGGCGAACAATTGTTTTCATTGAGTCTAGCTTGTACAGATCAAATGAAGAAAATGACATGTTGAACGAGGATAGACATTCTGTCAGAATGGGCGAGGGAAGAGGCAGAGGAATGGATTGATGCCCTTCAGGTCACCACAACACTGCAATCAAACTGTGATGCGTCATCCGTGCGATTGATCTTCGGCCACGGCAGTTGAATGGCATGGTCCGATCTCTTTTGTGCCTATAGATTGGGTGTGAACAAACGAATACCGATCGCTTCCGCAGTGGCTAAGGTGTGGAGACAACGATTTGGATGGGTGAGGTGGTACTCGATCAATAACTTTGAAGACTGAATAAGGCTTCATTTGGTGACCACAGTCTGCTAGATGAGCGAGAATAGCAGTTTCAGTTTGCACAACCATTAACCATGCACTATTGTGCGCCGGTTTTCGTTGCTATCTTTCGGCTGCCCACTTGGATGAACATTAGGAGGAAGACAGGAAAGATTGAAAGTAGGATCGAAGAGAAGATTGAAAAGTTCAGTGGATTAATGATACAGAGAAATTGAGAAGATGCACGAACACCACTGTTTACGACACCCAGCTATATCGCTCAGTGTCTCTAACCATCGGGTACGACCATCCCGAGGTCCTCATCCAGAGAACCTAACGGGACCTGTGTGACCTAGACTCCTGGTTAGGGTTTTCATACCCTCATGCCAGGTCTTAGCTTGACCACCCTTGGCTTTCTTCCACCCACTACCTGCTTCGGCAAACATCGCTCGCCGTGGCAACCTATTTGGAGACATGCGTAACACATGCCCCAACCAGCGTAATCTATGGAGACAATAGCGTTTCGTGTAACATTTTCCACCGTGTTGAAGCCAGCATGGACAATGCTTTTTTATCCACTCAGACAGTTGCCTCGCCGTTCGGCCAATTTAGGTTGCGTTACAGACGCAGTTGAAGAAATGGATAACCATAGATGAGGCCAGCATAGATACACGGTCTTTATTGGATGTTCTTATTATTGGTGAGCGTGTGAATACGCATGATAAACTGGCTGCACTAGAGGTTCCTCTCACAGCACGTGCCAAATGTCTCCTAATCAGATCAAGCAGGTCGTCTCCTTTGAATTGCAGTTTAACAAACAGCTTCTTCGGAGCTTCCTGAACGGACTTGTGTTTCATTTTTTCTTCTAGGTTTCCTTCGATAAACCTTTCAGGGTGTCCGTTTCCATTTAGAATATTTCTAATCTCATCAAGTTCATCTGCGAACGTGGATTCGGGGCATTTCTTTCGTGCACTCGAGACGAGTCACTGAATAAGGTTTCTCCCTTGTTTAAGTGGCGCGAAACTGTGAAAGTTGGTGTACTGTCCGGTTCACTTTTCTCTTCCGTATGCCCTTCTTTCCAGTATTCCATCAGTTGTCCTTTGCAGAGGTTCTCGCTCAGCTGTTCGATCTCGTCCGTACACTTTAATCCAGACAGTTTATCACGCGGAAGAATTGCACTTTTTCACGCACTGAATGGGTATCTTATGAAATCATTATCAGTCAGGCACTGAGAGGCAATGGAATTGAATCCGAACCAAAATGGCTCTCCTCGGCAGACTCGCATAAACTAGGTACCCTAAGCCGACTTTCACTCACTATTCGTGCACAATAAACAAACAGCACAGGTGACAATATCCCGCCTAATATTCTACAACTGATGCGATATCGTGGCATAGTATGGTCTTTTAAATCGGAAGCCTTAGTATGGTCGGGGGTGGATTGCCTCCTGGTTGTGGCTAGTTACCCTTCCCGTGCATTTCGCATAATGTTCCCATACGACTAAGTGTCTCAAATTACCTCTACTGCGAAAGACCTGCTCACTGCATCCTACTCGTGGTGGAGGTGGTCTTCCAGCAAAATGGGAGGATGAATAATAATCAACATCCGGGTTGGTGAATCACTGACAGTTCATCTAGGGTAGTTAGCTAGAAACCCTGATTCCAAACCAGCCAAGAGGAGGCGTACGAACCACACATACACGCACACCGTCTCAGTTGTGACAGTGGTCACCGCTTTGATTGGACATTGAGGTGTGTCAGGCACCTGGACGTTCAATCTGATAAACTCCCAATGAATTGTCGTTCTCACACCGCCCTTCTGCTTTACGGATCAGACTTTGGTTAGTTGAAGGCTCCGGATGTGATTTTCCTAAGAAAATTCACCTTTATCCTGGGCAACCTAGCGGTATCGAGTCCTCGAGCAAATCACGAACTTTTTTATCAAGATTATTGTACTGTGATTTGTTTGGTACACAGTCTGTATTCAGACATGTGTGAGTTGAAGGCTGCTCTCAGGTCAGTTGGTCAGTTGGTGTTCGTGAAACAGCAAGTGAAGTATCTGACACGCACTGGTTAACCATTAAACTCACAACCTCCTCTCTCTTCCTTTCCTTTCCGGTTTGTCATCACTGCCCAGGTGAAGCATGGAATGTCTGTGGTTGAGGCCGCATTGTTGCATCAGTGCATCAAAGAAGAAGAAGAGCAACAACACAGTTATTTTTCGAAAGATGTACCGAATACTGTCGTCAGCAGAGTTCCTCGATCGCATCGGTCCTCATCTTCGTCTTCCGGTGCCGCGCCTGATGCACCATCATCTCAACCAGAAATGAACGGGGATCAGCGTATGCAAATTGACGTGCACACTGCTACAGACAAATCGAAGGAGACGATCGATACGTCGTATCCCACTCAACCAGCATCGAAACGTCCCAATTTCGCCCCACACTCAGAGCAACAGTCCACTCAATGCGTAACTACTTCTGTGTCTCATAATGGTTACCCTGTTCAACAGGCAGTATACGGATCGAAGGACAATGGCAAGTCACCTAATCCACCTTATCTATCGCTTGTTAATATTTGATGCTAGTCTATCTCTGTTTCATTTTTCGATTCCTCGCTTATTCTAGTGCGAGCGCTTTTGTGGATTGCCACTCCAGTTCCTAAGGTTTCAGTCACCAGTTATCATGACTAAACAGCGGTTCCTCGTGACTGGGTTTTTTTTTCCTTCGATCGTTCATCCAATGATGTTTATTAAAAATTGACCAGGGTAACATGGCCATACACTGTTCGCTACGTTAAGAAATATCGGCGTATTGGTTCTTTACACACGATTAGGATGTGACAAACGAAATTAGGTTTCGAGCTGCAAATATTACTCGGCTACAAATGTGAACCACTACGGGTTGTCTGTCTCACGGCCCTGAGACCGTGATCAAGAATACTGCTTTGCATTAAAGCATTAAATAAATTGTCTGTGTTCGAACACCCTGACCAGGAGACTGGCTCACATAGATCCCGTTAGGCTCCCTAGATGGAGACCCAGAGATCATGGTCACCGATGGTTAGAAACACTGAACGATATGACTGGGTGTCGCAAACAGTAGCGCTCATGCATCCACTCATTATTTTTGTAACTTTAGTCTATGTAAATGTGCTATCTTCCGCTTGAATTTGCCGTCAACATTCTAATCATCATTCTGTTGTTTTATCCAAATGGGCAACCGAAAGACAGCAACCAAAACCGGCACACGAAAGTGCATGGTTAATGGTCGTAAGAACTGAACTGAACTGAATAAAGCTCACCACAAAAGAAGTATGTAATGGTCCATTAGTATCCCTGTGTTGGTAAGCAGCTTTTTTGTTCTCCCGCGTAATATCACGCATACATCCTGTAAACCCTTCACGTCGTCCATGACCCCAGGGTTGCAAGTTCTTATAGTCGAACAGGTGAATATGGGACTCACCCGTTCTACCATTCACCACACGATGGTCTGTACAAACTGGCAGACGCTTTGAATGGGCCTGCCTTTAACCGCCTGACAAACGCAGAACCCATTCATGGAGTCCGTTGTACTACTGGGTCAATCGATGCGTTTCTGTACACCACCATTCAAATCGGTGCGCATAACCGGTTCGGGTTCCGCGTTGTGTTGCTTAGTAGCTTGGGCTGGCTGTACCATTATTTGTTTGTTAACACTTCCGGATAGTTCCATCCGTTTTGCTTTAATCAGACGTCTACTCATTTTGTCTAATCAATCACACAATCGCATTACCTTCAATATTTGGCTCCATGTTTATCCAGATTTTCTCGCCCCGATCCCATTCTCCACCAGTCTTGGCCTCACGTTGCTAGTCGCCTTTATCAAGTGTTTATTTTTCAGGTCCTAAATAACTGGAATTTGATTGTATCTTCCTCGTGCATCCACTCATTATTCCCCTAACACCATTCTATATGAATTCTCTATCCTGCTGTTTTATCCAAATGGGACATCAAAATACAGCAATACATCAAAACCGGCGCACGGCAGTGCATGGGTAATGGTTGTAAAAACTAGAACTGTATCTCCCTCCCTCCGTCCCTCTTGAAGAACAACTGCGTTGTGGAATATACCCTTTCCTTTCTTTATCACCTTCAATCTTTACATCTTAACGTACGTGAGTGTTGCACATGTCTCCTGGGATATATCTCCATCACAAACTGACTGCACTTGGATGTGATGTGACTAATGGCTTGTGCACTTCTACGATCCAACGAGCTTTACAGAATGGCTGCATTCAAGCCAACAGATTTCGTCACACATGAGAACGGTAGAGATCAGACAAACTTCATTTTTCTGGTCCTCCAGGTTTCGGGTTCGACTCGAATTGACATCTCAGTTGGTTCAAATGTTGAAGGACTAATAGATCCCATAAAATGCACATCTATTTCACCACACCTGCTGCTTTGCAGTTAGGTTTTTGTAAGAAATAAAGGCTTTGTTTGTCACCCATAATCGTTCTCTTGCTTCATAGTTGAACACCCTCACAACATTCGTCCATCAAACCCAAGTGCTTACACTAAACAAACACAATTCATGCTGCATCAATGATCGCGCAGGATAACCGGGACCACGCTACCCATTGCATCTAGCAGGGTGGCTGATGACAAGTAAACTACTGCTCAGACAACCAAACTTTCGTTTAATTCTTTCTCTTCCGTGCCCACCATTGCCTTTGCCCCTTCTTCCAACGCATAGCATTCTAACAGAAAACGTGTTTGTCACTCGCCAGAGCTCGTTGCCAAATAGCAGTGTAAATAATTGACCATTAAATCGTTAATCTCGGAATCTGGGATCCTTTAACGTGAGAACTCTGAGGCAAGTAGGTCAACAAACTTGCCTGGTATATTCAATGCACTCACTAGCGATCGTTGTTTGCTGCACATCGGAGACTTGAACTCAGGACTTCAATACTATAAATCACTTAAATAGGCCAGATTTTTCCCCGAGATACTTCGTCTACATATCAGCTCAGTGTATGTATTTGAACGGAAGTGTCGCTTTATCGACTAGATCCTCGTCAACAGTGGGTTAAGTGCCATGCGTCTCCAGGGTTTGACCAGTGTCTGGGACATAGGTGACACCAAATGTTGTTTGTTCATCATGCGTCAACCGGTCTGATGCACAAAACGTCGAGTTCCGCTGTAAACTCACCGAACTAATTCAATAGATTAGCACGGTTGGTGATTTAACACAGGTGAAAAAACCGTGCACATGCGAAGTTTGCCTAGGCGGTTGTGCTCTACCCTGCCAGTGAACAGACAATGGCGATTGACTTCTTTTGTTCATCATCTGTTCCCGGTCAGTATCGAATTCCGGCATAGTTCTATACCTAAATTCTAGTAAAACCGAGTGGATCTAACCAATCGTCTTCAGTTTGGAACCTCACAAAGGGATTGGTACTTCCGCCGTCACACATCACCGATTGGACTAGGTCAATCAAAACCCCGTCCAGTCGGAATAAATTGACTTCTCCATAGACAAATAAAAGTACTTTTTGAGTGTATTAGCGATCGGGTGTGGGGTTTGACTATTCGTCCCCCACCACCCTACCCCCGGAACGTGATGTCCTTGGCCGTTGATCGAGTGAGCTTTCGATGAGAATGAACAAACCTCGCGTAAATTGCCCTCGGTTGGCTGGGTAAGGAAACGAATCACATCAAAATGGATCGATAAATCGGTCACCATGATCAGACATGCATATTGGAATGAATCATTGCATGGGTGGACTCAGTCTAGGTCCTCAATAGTTTAGTGAGTAAATTCCATTGAGTCTGAGGTTCATCCGAATAGCACCGCTTCCTTTGAACCCAACGCAATTGTTTACGTACGAATAACAAGATGCTTAACAATGGAGCAAGGATACAATGATAGAATCAACCAATCAACTGAATAGCAAGATCAAATTCAAATTCAAATTTTTATTATGGGATATAACTTACAAAGACTTCGCTTTTACA